GAGTCAGGGAGGAGAGCACACACAGGCCCAGGCAGGGCCCAAGGCAGCCCAGTGCCCACGTCCCCAGACAGCCCAACCCTGACCATGGCACCGCCTCCTGCTCCAGCTCCTTATCTGCCCCCCAGGACCTTGCCCTGCAGGACAGGGACAGGTGTAAGGAAGTCTGTAGCTCTGGCAGCTCTGTCCTGGGCAAGGCCACCACTCACAGACCCCCTAGACTCCCCAGGTGTGAGGCTGAGGGCAATGCAGGGTGCTGGAGGGAGCGGGGCCTCCTAGTTCCCCACCCAGCATGCAGAGTCAGCCCCAGGGCCGGGGCCAGGAGGTCCTGGGTGTCAGTTCCCTACTGGGCTAAAGCAGCCCCTGGTTCAGAGGGTCTGAGACCCTTTTTAAACCTAACATTCCAGTTTTGATAAAAAGCGCTTACCTTATTATTCTTATTTTATCATGACACAGAATAAAAGCAAGATACAAATACTGTCTACAGGCGTGAACACGATGAGGTTTAAAACCAAAGCTTAGTGGTAACAAAACATTCAGTCTTCGGGGGTTGGGATTTAGGCTTTTTTTTTTTTCTATTTTCTGTATTTTACCTACTTTGAATAATGAGTAGATAGTGCATAATTAAGGAAATATGTTCTTAAAAATGAATGTGTTTTTAGGAGACTATAAACTACAGAGCAGGTAAGCGGCCCGGGCAGCATGGCAAAGCCCACATGCCACGGTGGGGCCACTAGGAAGGCAGAGTCGGCCCTGGACACCTGTAGTCGGTGTGTTGGCAAGAACCTTGCTGAGTCACCATTGTTATGACCTTTGAGCACCTGGGAAACACCTGAGCTTTTCCCCAAAGCAGAAAGCACACCTCCAGCCTTGAGCCTGGACACGCCGTGCTGATAAAGGTTTGGGGACGCCGCCTCTGTCCAGCAACCTGCTCAGCTGTCCTGTGAGCAAAGCTCTCCCCCACCCCCCCACTGCTCAGATGGAGGCTCATGGCCTGGTGACCTTGATGTGGGGCGTGCTCACCTCAGTCACCTTCTGGTAAGCTTCGAGGGCATTCATCCAGCCGGCCACTGGCCCCTTATCGTCGGTTGAGCCTCTGCCATACAGTTTACCTAGAACAGCAACGGGCACGTTCACATCTCTGATCACAACGGAGCGGAGAGGCACAGCTGCGGGGACACCTGCTAATGCCCGGCACGGCTGAGTAAGGCTTCCCCTCCAAACCAAAGCCCCGCCTGTCTGAGGGCCTTGAGCCTCCACCCAAACTTTTTGCCAGGACTTGCATAGTTGAAGAGGCAAGGCACATAGATGCCTCCCAGGCACCCAGCCCCCTGCCCCCAGGTCCCAGGATCATCAGGGCTCACCTCCCTGCTGGGCCAAGACTTCAGCCCCTCCTAGAACCTCACTGCCTCTCGGTTAGCTGGGTAAGCCCGCTTACCACAGCAGCTGGAAGCACAGTGCCCCACCCAGGAGAACTGCAGACCTCACGCCGCCCACCCCAGCTCTGCCCTGACTTCATAAAGAGCGGGAGTTACGGTTCTGCTCTTCATCTCTCTCCCTTTAGAGATCACTTTGGAAGCTGCAGGACACGCCTGTCCGGTCAGTCACAGGGACTCCCGTCTCGCCCTCGCTTCTGAACCAGCTACGCAGCAGCCGTCGGGGCTGGGAGGCTCGCACCTCAACAACCCTGGACGGCGAACCCACGGCTGGCCCTTCGCTCTGCCGCATGCCCAGAGTAAGGGTCCCAGAGACCCGCAGAGGAAGGGCCAGCTTCTGGAGGGACCATGCCCTCAGGCCCTGGGCCAGCCACACTCGCTCTGCCGCCTCCTTACTCCAAACAGCCCAGCCTCTGCCATCTTCATTCTCAGACCCTTGCAAAGGCCTGGCAGTTCTGACGCGACCCACCCTGAGGTAGCACGAGGCTGACAGCCATTACCACCATGGGGACTTCCTTTCATACACGAAGCCCGGCTTCTCACAAAGGCTAAAGATTAACTATCGGCCGCCCACTGCCAGGTCCCAGGACATGAGTATTAGGAGCATGGTATTAGTCAGAAAATCCTAATGCTAAGGAAGATTTAAAAAATAAACGTACCCTCCCCTAAAACAAAACAAAACCTGTATCTGCTACGAACACTGACGAACCACGTGGCAGCACCTGCTTGCTCAGAGGTACAACACGAACCCTGCCTCCCTGAGGGCCTGGCGGACAGGAGGAGGCGTAGGCCTTGAGGGTGGGATGAGGCTCTTTACTGGCCACTCCAGGCTCATGGCCAGCAAGTCCCTAGGGTGCAGGATGGGGAGGGAGGCCCGGCGGGCTGACTGGGGTGACACTCATGCAAGTATCTGCAGGCTTGGCACAGGGGGGCGGAGAGGCAAGAAAGGAGGCTGATAGAGGGGCCTCTGTGCCACTCTGAGTCTCCCAGGGAGTATGGAGTGCAGAGGGGGCACAAGGTCACTTTGGGACCCGGGTGGGACAGGACTGGAAGAACAAAGGCTGTGGGTGGGACCAGGACCCAGTGCTCAAACGTGGACAGGGCTTCAGTGCGGGCAGAGTGGGGTGGGAGGCAGGATGGCCTCTGGGTGCTGGTGTAGGTGGTGGGGGACATGCTGCCTTTCTCTGAGAGGGGACAGGAGTGAGGACCAGGAGCTGTGGCATTTAAGTAGGGAGGGGATGCCAAGGACACGTCGGCCTGACACCTAGCAGTAGCCCGCACATTCACGCGGATGCGCTCTACCAGCAGCCGTAAGTCTGAACAGCGCTAAGAGCTGACCAGAGCCAGGAGGTGGAACTCGGGGAAGGTGTGGTCGTGGTCTGGCACAGCAATGACCAGGCTGGCCTTGGGCCAGGAGAGGCCTGAATACGGAGGAGGCTTTCACGACAGAGGGTCAGGATCTTAGCCCACAGGGGATCTTTCCCCATCAGAGACAACCATGGACAGAGGCTTGTGAGAGTTCAGAAATGGCAGGAGGCCCTGACGCCAAAGGGGGCTGGAGGGGCCACCCCCATGGGGCCTCACGGTCTCTCTCACAGTGCCTGTGTGCACCGGCAGGTGGCCACTACCAACAAGTGACAGCACCGTCCTCGCTGGGACAGGCGGGGCTACAGGGCAGCTCTAGGTCGGCAACACCGGACTGCAGGCTTTGGGGACTGCAGCTCAGGAAGGGAAAGCCCAGCAGGACCGCGGCCATGGAGGCCAGGAAGGCTCTTGCACCCATGGGAAACATGCAGAACCCGATTTCCAGATTGTGTTAAATACGGTCTCTACTGGAAAAAAACAATCATGGTTGTCAGTGATTTTCCAAAAGTGACATATCAGTAGTAGGGATTCCCTTCCTGCATGGGTGGGTGGCGGTGCGGCCCTCACCGTCTCGCTCCACCAGAGTGAAGGGCTCACTGTCCCAGCCGTCCTCCAGGGCCGCCGGCTGCACGTCGAGGTGCCCGTAGATACACACCGTCTTCTTGCGGGGGTCGGAGCCCAGCTGGCCGAGGACAATGGGCGGAAGTGGGATCTCCGAGCCGTCGGGTAACTGCAGTGGAGAGGGAAACAAGTGGCAGCCTTTGTTTAAGAAGCTCGCTATTCTCAGCAAGCATCGCAGAAACACCACAAGCTTCCGTATCTGTCCTCCTGCCGTTTCAGATCATATCATTCAACGGACATTAACCGGCAACCATCTCCCACCCGTAACCCGGAGCACACAGACTGAATTCCGCTCACATTCACTCTGTATTAAATGCATAGACTGGTTTTGTTGTTGTTGTTGCTTTTGCTATAGGGCGTGTGCGCTTGTCAGAGACAGAGACTGAGAGAGAAAGTGAGCCATCAGCTCTCCAGGGAGGACGGCCACACCCAACCCCTTCTCTTCCATTTGTCTCTCGGGATTTGGGGCACACACACACACACACACACACACACACACTCAAGTGCCTGGTGTGATTTTAAAGCCCCTGAGTCCGGACTCAGACTGCTTAGTTGGCCATGTGGGGTCCAACATCTTAACCTCCATACCACCTGCTGGCTCTAAAGATTTATTTATTTTTAAAATGCTATTATTTAACAAACATTATGCAGGCTAAGTTTTGGATACAAATTGGTTTATTATTTTCTTAAATAATGGGGAAAACAAATATAACCCTGGGTCAGAAGAGTTATTTTGGGAACATTGTGTGTAGACTACGTTCCTGCACAGAAAGGACCATAAACCAAGGTACAAAGGCGCGTGAGGCCACTAATTGAAGCGGAGTCCGGTGAACTTTGTCCTCAAGACCTATGGGTCTCCACACCTAGTAAGGATGGGGCGAGGGGGCTCCCTAGTCATAGTTCCTGCCTGTGTCAGAGCAGGCCACAGAGGGAGAGGCAGAGCAGATCACCCGGCCTCTCCCGTGTTCCCTCGGCCAGCTGCAAACACCACCCCCATAGCCCCTGGAACCTGACAGCGCACAGCCGTGATAAGCACACAGGGCTGCAGAGGGCGAAGGCATGTGTGCCCTGGTGCAGTGGAAGAGGAAGGCCGGGCCCCTGGAACAGCGCACACACACGTGTCAGTCTAGTTGCTAGAAAGAGCTGTTTGTGAGCGTATGTTCAATACACAGGACACACAAACCAAACTGAGAATAGAGCAGAATGCACTATCCACAGGCAGGAGTTTCAAGGAGCAGCAACTGAGAGACAGGATCAGGGTAAGCCCGTGCTGGCCGGAGAAAGCCTCCTCTCTCAGCACACAGAGCATGAAGCACCAGGGGACCCTGCGGCTGGCCTGCCTTGGTAAGCCATGCTTGCAAACACCCAACCTAGGTACCTCCTGCAACCACAGCGCTCGAGTCTCACGACCCTCACCCTCACTGATGGCACGGGGACTGGGCGTGCATGTGGTCTGCACAGGGTGGGCTGTAGCCACCAGGGTGAACAATCTCTCTTTAAAACTCCCAGCCCTGGGGACCAGCAGATGCTATAGCAGTTATGACACTGGACTCCCACACGGCTGACAGCAGTTCGAGTCCTGGACCCAGTGGCTTGAAACTCGCACCAGTGTGTGTGCATGTGCGCCCAAGATCCTGGGAGGAGAATGGAAGAATAGAGGATGGAAGAACAGGCCACCCTCTGGAGAGTGGTTTCTCACTTTCCCTCTCATGGTTTTTCTCTCTCTCTCTGTCTCTTTCCAGCAAGCGCATGCACCCTAAGGCAAAAACCTCTTTTAAAACAAAAACAAAACCTAACAACTCCTGCCCTGGGCACACAAGATTTGGCCACCGCCCTCACAGCTGGCCCTAGCGTCTGAACAGGAAGACAAGTTTTAAACAATAGGTTTTCTCTAAATACATTTCTATTCAATGGCGTTTCTAGGAAACACTTCGGTGATTCTAAGAAACTGTGGGCCTGCAGGTAAATCCATTCTGAAATGCGGTAGGGCTGAAACCCTCGAGCATCTTTCCTCTCAGAACATGAAAACACCCCAGCTTCCACAGTTACAGGCGGTCCCCCTCAATCCCACCTTCATTCCTGCCTCGAGTCGCGGGCACGCAGAGAAACAGAGCACGGGCGGGCACAGTAGCCCCGTAGTTAACAAAGCCAGACCCCACGCGGCTGACAGCGGTCTGAATCCGGGCACCAGCAGCTTGAAAAACATGCGAGGTGCACGTCTGTGTGTGCACGAGTGCACCCAAGACCCTCACTGGGTAGAGAACTGGAGGAGAAGGGATTGGGGCATGGCCACACCCCACGTGGATGCTTTCTCCCCCTCTCCGGTGAGACATGCACCCTCTGGCAATTTTGGAACATGGTTGCCGGACGAGTCTGTGGTAGAAGACAAATGAGTGTTGGGACCTCACAGCAAAAATCTCTGTAGATCTTTTCTACCAGTGATGAAGTCTTCCAGTGCCTTGATAAAACAGGTGTTATGAAATTCCACAGAGTGTGATTATCATTTCAACCTTGTTTTTTTCTTTCTTTTTTTTTTTTAGAGTTTTTTTGCTATAGGGCACGTGCGCTCACCAGAAAGACAGAGAGAGACAGAGACAGAAAGAGAGAAATCACCCCCCGGGGGGATGGCCACGCCGCAATCCCTTCTCCTCCATTCTCCTCTCAGGATCTTGGGCACGCACGCACACGTGCCCGGCGTGAGTTTAAGCCGCTGGGTCTGGGACTCGAACCGCAGTCGACTACATGGGAGTCCAGCGACATAGCCATTACACTAACTGCTGGTCCCTCAACCTTGTTTTAAAAAATATTTATTTATTTAATTCCATTTGTTATTATCATTTCTTTAATTTGACTAGAAAGAGACAGAGATATAGAGAACGGAAAAGCAAGAAAGCAAGCTGCCGGGGCCAGAATTCAAACCGTGGTTGCCCATAGGGGAGTCCAGCACCCTCAACTACCGTGCCACCTGCTGGCCCCACATTTCAGCTTTTTATGGAAGACCCTTTCTTGTACTTCAACATCAGCTGTAAATGGAATCAATCCATATACCGTCATGAAACGACACATAGAAACTATCTGCCCCACCTGATTTTCTTATGAATCAGGAAGAAAGGGAAGAAGTCACTCTTGAAAGAAAGCAGCACAAAGAAACTCGGCTTATTCACCCAAGAAGGGGGCAGAGTTGTTCAGAAGCTGTGATGTGTCTTAAGTCAATCATTCAATTCACTGTCAGAGAACTTTCAAATGAACAATATCGGACCGGGAACTGGGTGGCCTGGAGCTTCACCCTGGCTTTGCCGTGGCCTACTGTGGGCTTCCGGGGAGCACTCTGCTCTGCCACTGCCCGCTGGGGCCTCCAGTTTCTCCCACGGGGGAGTGAGCACCCTGAACTGAATGTCCACACCCCTGAGTTCAGGACTTGGTTTCAACTCGACATTGAAACCACCAGGCAAACAGAACTGAGATCAATCAAAACTTGCCGAACCTGGCAATATAAACAAGTATGTAACTCGGAGAATATACACCATGAGACATGCAAGCAGCACAGGCTAAAATGACCTGAAACAAGAATGGCGGGATAGTGTACAAGGAAGTGACGTTGTTCATGTAAATAGGAAAGTAAACGAAGCATTCTTTTTTGGAGGTTTTTTTTTGCTATAGGGCGTGTGCGCTTGCCAGACAGAGTGAGACAGAGAGACAGAAAGCGAGAAATCACCCCCCACAGGGATGGCCACGCCGCACTCCCTTCTCCTTCATTCTCCTCTTGGGATCTTGGGCATGCACACGCGCCCGGCGTGAGTTTTAAGCCACCGGGTCCAGGACGCAAACCGCAGTCGAATACATGGGAGTCCAGCGACATAGCCATTACACTAATTGCTGGTCCCCAAAGCATTCTTTTTTTTGGGGGGGAGAGGTTTTTGCAATAGGGCGTGTGCACCTGCCAGAAAGACAGAGAGAGATAGAGACAGAAAGTGAAAAATCACTCCCCAGGGGTGATTCAATCCCTTCTCCTCTGTTCTCCTCTCAGGATCTTGGTCACTCGCACACATACTCCCAGCGTGAGTGTAAGCCACCCGGTCCAGGACTCAAACTGTGGTTGGCTACATGAGAGTCCAGTGACATAGCCATTACGCTATCTGCTGGTCCTATGAAGCATTCTTATCTGCAAATGACACCCCAGTCCCATACACAAAACCTCTAATGAAAAAGGCTCATTCTCGCAGCTGTGACATCTGGGGACACAGTGCTGTCCTCATTCTGTTTAAATGGAAATGGATAAAGTGTAACTTCCTAGTTTCAAAGCTTACTGACTCCTGGGAGGGGCGTCGCAGCTCCTCTCTTATTCTTGTGTAACCGTCCACAGTTCTTCCTGGAAAAAGCTGCTGAGTGTCACGAACCTTTGCCCTAATCCAACTGAAATCATCATGAGGAATTTGTGATCCAAATCAGGCCCTTTTGGGCTTGCTTGTTTTACAGATGAGCAGGGTATCTGAAGCAAAAGATCAGTTTAGAGCCCAGGGGCCCTCAGCCTGGGCGGCACGGCGGCCCTGCGGCTGCGCAGTGCACAGGCTGTGGGGCTGTACCTTCTGCTTCCCGATGTCCACCAGCTCCACAGAACCGCCCAGCTGCGTGATGTCGCCCGCGACCTCTGACATCATCCGTGCGACCTCGGTTCTCTTCTCCGGCCATGCAGACACGCTCTGGATGGCCACCCACTTGGCCAGCTTCTGTTTGTGGATGACAAGAAGACAGCAATTAGAAAAGGCGACCACCCCTTACGGGAAGAAGGGACCACAGCTGAGCCACGTTCTCAGCTCCCCAGGTCGGCCAGCTACCTCTGCTGCTCCGTGACCAGATGGGGAAGGACAGGCCCATCCCCTTTGCTCTGTGTTTGAGATTCTCTGAACCGTGCTGACCCTGCACTGAGAGCTGGGCCGTGACCGAAAATGCCAGAATGAGTGTGTTTAACCCTCAGGAGGGGGTGGACAGCAAATGTACAATGTCCTCTGTGTCCATGTGAATCTAACAAAACGATGATGGAAAAGTACAGCAAATGCCCAACACCTCCACAGCCCAGATTAGCGTAGTTCTCATCCCGACAACGACCAAGTTTCTAAAGTGTAATTTTTGGAATGAGAATTCTAAAGATTTTGTCTAAAATATGTCTACCAAGAATAACTTTAAAGCATAATTTCTTAAATTAACATCAAGAAAGGGATTAATATAAACATTATTGAATCATTTAGAATGTCCTAAATGCAAACTAGTTCTTTAATCTGTAACTATGGTAAGAAATTGTAGAGATTAAACAAACAAAAAAAACCCCAGATGAGCTCTGCTGCTTCTAGAAACAATAACTTCCTGCCCAAAGTCGAAAGTGAAACATTGCAGTGAGAATGTAGGTAGACCAGCTATCCGGACAACACTGCTACGATTTGATTGAAATACTACCATTCACACTAGCTTCTCGGAAGTTTCTCTGAACCCCTAGAATTACTGGGTGTCAGAAGAGTCATGACACATTTTTTCTTGGCAAAAATGTGTCATGACTTTTCCTACAATCTAATAAATCACATTTTAATGTTAGAAGGATGAAATGCTCCCTTACCGCAACGAAGCGATCTTGATTTTGATCAATATATTTAAAAACGTCAGTGAGGACCGACATCTTTCCACCGACTGCAGACCGCGAGGATTCTTGAAAGGAAGGATCTGGTCAGCTGGGCTGTCAGGCAGGGACTGCAGAGGCAGGTCTGGAGGCAGGGGTGAGGGCTGAGGAATGTGAGGGCCACGCCCAGCACCTGCTCTGTGCTCCCACAGGGCTCTCCAGGAAGTACTGAGGTCGCGCCCACAGCCGTGGGAACCACTCCAAGGCTCAGCCCGATCTCCCTTACTTCTCGCGGAAGAAGCTGCCCGAAGTGACCAGTGGAGCGGCAGGTAACTGTAGGAGCCCGGGAGCCCACCTAGGAAAACGACAAGGCGGCAGCAGTCAGGGTTACCAGCGCTTCTTTCTGCACTTTGTTAGCGCAGCTGGAGAGGCACGCAGGCACTTCCCACTTTCCATCACCACAGAGGAAACGTCGCCTCGCCCATGCCAGCAGAAACGCACGTCTCCTGTCACCACGAGCCCAGGACACAGCCAACACAGCCGGAGGAAAACCAGAGCGATTGGGTGTGAGCAAGAGAAAGAGCTTAGTCTGGAAACGGCCTGAGGACAGCATGCAAACACTCCAGAACCTGAGAGAAGGCCTCCCTGGGCCATTTTCCCAAGTCCAGCTCGACACCAACAACTTCCGCCCCAGTCCACAGCCGGTGGCACAAATCACTTCGCTGTTCTCCAAAGTCGGAGTGAATATGAAATAAGGAAGCTCCGGCAGTGGGGCGGCCTTCACAGCGGGCTCTCTGCCCTCTCTTCAATGCGCTACTCACCCTTCAGTGGCCACACTCAGTCTACAGGGAGAGCGCTCGGCTGTGCGGTCTGAACCTGGCACAGCAGTGACACGACTGCTTCCGGGCACAGGATTACACTGCTCACTCAGGCAGGGCCTTGCACGCTCAGCTACACTGGAGTGAGCTGCCAGGTGGAGTCTGAATTGACACAGTATAGTCAGAGGGCACTCTCCCCTCGGTATGGGATGCCACATGATCCCTAAACAGAGGGGTGCCTTTGTCCACAGAGACAGGTGCCTTCTGTGTGGGGAGGGCTCGAGCCACTCAGTGCTCAGTGACCTCTTCCTCCCTTCACCTCCCAGACACAGGGCAGGACTTACACATCCACAGTTAACTCAGAGGGACTCCGTGGAGCTCTTCTCTTAAGGAGCCTCAGTAAAACAGCCCCTGACACTGGTGGCATTTCGCACGTGCTATGTTGAATTTTCATCCATCTGTCATGGAAAATGTACACGGGGACCTACCTGTGTACGTAAAAGGAACCCTGCTTAGTAGGACAGTATGCCACGCTGGTGCCTGCCATTTGGGTCTCTGGTCATTAAACACCACGAATCCCAACTCACTGTTATATTCTCTTTAATATTTTGTTCTTTGTAGTCAAATTTACCAGTGGCTTTGGAGCAAAAAAAAAAAAAATCACTCAAAGATATAATTATCTAAGTTGTAATTTTCATCAAAGAGAGTGAACAGAGATCAGATCTTCAGTGCTCCATGCAGAGCCTGTGGGGCTGGGATAAAAAGTGGCAGTTCTTAGAGTTGTGGGCCCAGTCTAAGCAGGTTAGGCTGGGTCCATCTTGTCCCTCCCACTCACAGTTCTGAGTAATTCCTGCTTCACAGCCTCCAAACCAATGCCATGAAATAGAACCACTTTTACATGCCCTAATGAGCCCTGTTCAGTAAAGTAAAAGCAATACATTAGATTGATCCAAAGCAAATATTGTCCTTTTGAAGACATAAATAACACCTGCCCTCACTTCCCTCTAAAATCTCAGGTTCCTGAACAGTAACATTGCTTACTGTGAGGAAGGAAAGGGAATTCTACGTGTGACACCCATAGCGAGGCACCCTTGCGCACAAATGCTTCTTTTGGTTCTGAGTTATCTCTTTGTTCCTCTTTTTTTTTTTTGAGAGGTTTCTGTTTTAGGGCGCATGTACTTGCCAGACAGACATAGAGATACAGAGAGATAGAAAACGAGAAATCATCCCCCGGCGGGGGGTGGGTGGGTGGGTGGCCATGCCGCAATCCCTTCTCCTCCATTCTCCTCTGGGGATCTTGGGCACGCACGCACATGCGTCCAGCGTGAGTTTAAGCCACTGGGTCCGGGACTTGAACCGTGGTCGACTACGTGGGAATCTAGCGACATAGCCATTATGCTAACTGCTGGTCCTCTTTGTTCCTCTTTAATTCAAGTTGGATGTGGGGTGTTCAAGAAGTTTATGAAAAATGCTCATGATGCAAAGAAAAAAAACTGAATGGATTTTGGATTTTCTGGCACAAAAATAAACTTGTGCTTTGTTTTTTCACAAACTTTTTGAAGTCCTCCAGTAAATATTGTAAATACCTGAATCATGGCTTTGAGTCTGTGTAAAAAACAAAACAAAAACAAAACCCACTGAAACAAGGCAGACTCTCCACTTTGCCCAGTCTAGAGTTGTCCCAGACACTCTGAAATGATCCCTGCAACATTAAGGCCCACACAGGCGTCACCATCAGGTCCCCTAACAGGTTCTCATCCCCGCAGTCTGCACTAGGATGACCCTGGCACCTGACCTTGCAGTGGGGGCAGGCCAGGGTTTCAAAGACATTAGCCCGGAGGCACAAAAATCCTCCCCATTTTGCAGTTGAGGAAACTGAGGATTGAGTGACCCGCCCTGACCCGCAAGCTGACAAGGGAATGTCGTCTTCCCCCAGGAGCTTCTCCCTGCAGCCAACTTCCAGCTGAGAATGTAGGCGGCCTGAGCGAAGGCCGTGTCTGTCCAGCAACACCAACCATAAGGCTCCGTGTAGACTGACCGCACTCTGCTCCCAGCACCCGCTGCAGCCAGGAACGCCAGCTCAGACTAGCAGCGGGTGCAGGGCAGCCCCGCTTGGCCTCATCGACTGGGAGACTCGGTCACTCCCGGGGCTCAGCCTGCGGGCGCTTCGGGCGAGTGGCCTGATCGACCCGCCCCAGGGCCCCAGTGTCCTGAGCCCAAGGACAGGGAGAGAAACCCTCCCGATCGGCGGGCGGCCCCACCCCAGGGCCGCGGGCTAATCGGTCAGGGGCTGGGACCCGACCCCGACAG